GAGTCAGAGGAGCGTGGTCACAGAGGCAGCATCAAATACCAATCGTTAACCCTCAAGTCAGGGTTAGCTATAAACATTTGGCATGCTTTGTAACATCTCAATTCTTAAAGGAGCATTTCACTGATGATCCACCTTGACAGTGCTTTATCCCCACCTGAGGTACAGATCATTAGCACATGCAGCCTTGAGCTTATTAGATGTTTTGGTTTTATTTTGCTTTGTTTGGAATCGTCTGAAACAATATTCACTCATTTGAGGGTGAAAAACTTGGAAGCTGTAATTTTCCCCACCGAGACTCAAGGCCTTTGTTTCATATTTATAAGCTTTAATTAACCAAATAAACAAAGAAAAGGTTTCTCTGTGTTCTCTTCCAGTTGATGGACAATTTTAAATCTAACTATACCAGCTTGGCTTTCACCTCAAATCACCTCTTCTAATTTCATACACCATCTTTGTTACAATATTATATTTCCTTATCACTGAAATCCTGCTTTAACATTTGACTGTCATTTTTTTTTCAACACAAAATAATATAGCTGTAGTTGTGTTAATTCAGTTGTGTGTTCTGTTAATTTATTCTCTGGTTCTGGAAAGCGGAGCTGGAAGAATAGAAAAACTGATAAATGAGAGCAGGACAGAAAAGGAAAAAGAGAATGAAAGAGTTATAAGAGGGACGGAAAGGAGGGAAAAAAGAGTTATACAGTATTGACCTCAAAATCCTCCCTTACCATCTCCTTGAATGATGCTGCTTTAAACCTGTCAGAAAATGGAAGCACTCCCCCAATCAGCCTTTGAGGCAGTGGGAGAAATTGGCCACATCTGGGCTCCTAACCCCTGAAATGTATCAACCACTCTCAGTCCTCCCCACACAATACATTCTCTTTTAGCAAAAGTGCAGAGATGTGGCCACCATGAAACAGAGCTGGGACAACGTGTGCAGAGCCCCTCAGATGGTAACTCCTTGAGAACCAGGCAGGTAGATCAGTGAGCAGAGGAGACGGAGAAATCAGAGCGGGACAGATGGCCTGGAAAGAGCTGATAGCTAGCTAACCCAGCGGATTTATTTGATCAAATAAAAAAAGCTCCAAAACAGATTTTAAGCACTTTAATGCCACAGCCCAGTTCTGGAAAACCTCCATCTGTCCTCTCCTAAAACCTTATTGCCGAAGCGACTGCGAAGACGAGGAGGAGACGGATATAGAGGACAGAAATAAGATGTGCTTAAGATGTTGCCAATTCACCGGTAAAGACTTCCATTTCCACATATATGGAGAGAGGGGCTAACTACCACATGTAAACTACAAGATCTACATCAGTTTTAATTCATAGGTAAATATATCTAAAATGATGTCAAATTGAGTGACACAGCTGTTTTGACATGATCATGAAATAGAACAATTTAACTATACAAACTGAATATGCCTATTTTCTTAAATAATAATGCATCACACAATGTAAGTGGTAAGATCAATTCTTCATATTGTGTATATAAAACTGCCTAAAGCAAAACTTTCCTCCATAATACGGAAACCTGCTTTGACTTTATAAAGTTATTCATCACTGCTTAACTTAATATAAAATCTAGGAATGTCAGACATAAAATCTATCTAATCATAACATTCTACCTGTTCAAACACCTTGCATACATTTATTATTTACTCATGTGCAAACACTAAAGTACAACACCTTTTGTAAAATATACTTTCAGCATTTATTGCACTATTAGTTTATATCTAAACTGAAAGTTGTTATTACAGCCTCCTAATATTTGTGCAATTATTCTGCAAATAAATTGTAATGTGTCCAGAATCACCAGATGGGGCAATGCATTCTATGCCGTTAGCTGTGGCAGAGAGGTTGAACAGTCAGGCTGAGGGCAGTAAATTCTCCTGATACATTTTTCATCCTCCCTCTTTTGCAAGCTGCCAGACTGCTGAAAGCAGTATTGACTAAACACAGAAAAGGTCTGATCTTGCTTATTTATTCTCCATCTCTCTATTTTTGAATACTGGTGGAAATCAGAGGGGTCTGAGTGACATGACAGACACTGTTCCTATATGTGTGTCTCTACATAAATATTTATTATACAGCCACTGCATCTGTCCTTCAGGGTTTTTCTTTCACCTAATTTTCTTTCTTTGCCCTTGCAAACTGCTGGTCTGTCTGCTATAATGATGACTCTCTTCCATAACGGAGGCTGGCTGCCAAAATAAGAACATGCACTTCCACCATAATGTCCCTCCTACGGCTCCTCCGTGTGGAGCATAAGCATTTTTTCCCATGTTAATGTTTGGCACAGTAAGTTGTATATTTCAGTGTTTCAAATACCCGAAAAAAAACCTCTATGGCCACAAATTGGCAAACTGTCAATAATCGGACTAGAGAAATGGCAGGGGAACGTCTGTCTTCCCTCCAGAGGACAAGCTCATCAGAAAAGTGGAAGCAATCAATTTAGTCTCTACAACAACAGTTAATTTTATCTCTTTTTCTATTGAATCTATGTTTTAAAGCATTGGCTTGCAACCTGGGGGTCCTGACCCCAACTAGGGTCCCCTAGTATAAATATACAGTACTATATATACTATATCATTAATTTCTAAATGAAATAGTTTTGATTTTTATTCAAGATATAAATGTAAAAAAATCTCATGGAAGGTGAAGACCTGAATACAACCTATATTCACAGACCTATCTGTGTGCAGACAAATGACAACCGGATAGATAGATATCAGCATTGGTATCTCTTGTGTACTGTCTCCAGTACAGTAATTCATTTTTTTCCAAATATGAGCTAGTATTGTATATCACCGTCTTAACATGTTGACTTGCCTGGCTTCCTTGCTGGTGCAATAATCAATACAGAAGAATAAAAAATGAAAAAGGTGGATGCTTCCAGGTACATGATCTGATTGAAATCCTGCTGGTGACCCTTGTTGAACTTCACAGTTATTTTCTATTAATATTTCCTGTCACTCTCTAGTGTGAACTGACGTAAAATGCCAAAACATTATTAGATTGGGTGGCTGACCGAAACGCCAGGACAGAGAATAGTAGATATAATGCAGCAGCTTATTAGCCACCCTTAACTCTGAATCTCAGAAAGGTGGAATAGTTTCATATTTAAATACCTGGTTTATCTGCATATTTCTGCCTTTGAATGTGTGTGCATGCATGTGTTGGATAAAGTCCTATCAAACAGGTAAATCCCATGAGACAACAGCTAAATGTGTATCCAACTGTTACGGCTTGCTGTAAGAATTAAACACAGGTGAGTCAGGAGGTTATGAATTGTTGAGAACAAAAATCATCCATGTATAAAAACGTGAGGCAAAGATGTTCCTGCTTGCATAATGTTTTCTGTGCACACTGCTACTTCCACAAGTATACTTTCTGATCTTCTTCATTTCTTTAAATCCCTGGGACCTAGAAAGCCTCCAGGCAGAGGAGCTTCACACATTGCTGATGAGAAGGTATGACACATACTTGACTTCAATTTCTATCTTTCCATCTTCAGTTAGTTGATGTCTATGCCGGAAACAGATACCATGGCTCCTCGTTCTATTCAGCAGTGCCAAGAATTTTTCTGTATAGTTTGCCATCAGATCAATATCAGTTTAGCTGTAAGAGGGAGGGAGACTGTGGACCCATCTGTTCACATGGTGGTGCTGAAACACATGGCTTCCTCCTGTTTCTTTATCAGGCCTGGTAGACATGATGATAAAATGTCTATATGTTTTCCCATTATAGGTCCAAAGAAATTTTCTGCCAAATGCACTGGGAAAGCATTGGAAGTTAAGAGCTTATTTATCAAATGTAGTGAAATGCATACTTGTATGTGCATGCACATGTGCAGGTATGTGTCCCTGTGCACACTGTGTGTGTTTCCAGATTTACTTAAGTTACCCAGAGAAAGCTTTTGGAGAAAAACACACTCTCAAACATATACTCTGTCAAGACTTATCTTAGCCCTCCAGAGGCAGCAAGACAAAGCTCACACATTTTAAAGTCTCCAGTGGTAAATGAGGCGTTTGAGGAATTGCAAATGCCAGGGAACACACACACTGACAGTTAATTTTTATAACCTTTTTGTGAAAAGACTTACCAAGCAAACATTCAACTTGAGAAAGACCCCATCACTTGTGCCCCCATCCACCCACTCACCCCAGCAATTTGCTGCCTGTCTATCTCCATCAACCCACACAAGACCAGTGAGTACTATAACAGCTAAGACTAAACCAAAATATGTCAATACTCTCCACTGGTTGAATTAAACCCTTTATTGCAAAAAATTGTTTTACTTTCAGGGCAAATTCTTAAGAATCAAAGACCACAGTTTTTGTTAAAATGGCTATATTGTTAGATTAACAATGTATCACGTGATGATTTATGAACTGGATGCTCATTGTGACAAACCCACAAACAATTATCACCCAATTCGGCAGTTCCTCCTAGCTGAGCTTTATCGTGGCTTTCAGCTGATTGTTTTTTTTTTGTTTGTTTGTTTTTTTATGCCCGGCAACTGTGCTGTGCTTTTGGTTTAGTCTCTTGGCTCTCATCAGCATCATTTCCAAAAGCAGGCAGCTGCAAGGAAAAAGCCACGATTAACCCACCGTATGATACCTGCAGGCCATCAAACAGCAAACAAAGTTGTTAGTTGTTTGTGTTAGCTAGTCAACAAGCATCTAGCCACTAAAGAGTCAAATTATTTCTTATGGGTTGGTGAAGGCCAAAAACAGAGCTGAAAGTAAGTATTTGTTCAGGTGGCTAGAAACTGAACTGCAAACGTATGCTAATGTTACACTGTATTAGCTGTGTGTGTAAATAGGTAACTGTTTGCTTGCCATGTCACTTATGAAGTGATAAAATATTCATTTAGCTGTTTCTGCTGCCCTCAAGAGTAGGTTTAAAGATGCATTTTTGAACTTCAGAAGTTGCATGTTGTGGTTTAAAAATTGAAGGGACAACATCATACATCAACATAGAGAGCCTTAAACACTGACCTGAACCTCAATGCCAAATCCCAGGTAGACCGTAACCAAGTAGTTACACTCCACTCCAGAGTCAAGTTGCTGCAGAATTTCGATGTTACCCTCAGGGTCAGTGAAATTCAGACTGCATGGTTCTGTGGGAGACAGTAAAGAAGACAAGTGATTCCCTCTTTCCCGGACCAATGATCTCTCTGACAGCCCACCTGTGTCTCCATGCCCCGTAACCCTCTAACTATCTCTGCAGATTTCCTCTCCGACACTGCTCATCTGGGCCCTCTGGCCTCTGTGGCCAGTGGAAAGGAAAGGCAGGACACATCATTGAAAATCTGATTGTTTTTGACACATGAGCAACTCTGTTATCCCTGGTGGAGAGATGAATAGCAGTGTACAGCATGCCAAATAAACAGCAGTGATGTTGATGACCTGATTCTTAATTTTCCTGTCCTCTGGGATGGATGTGTTAAATCTCTGGTGGAAGGTAGTCTCAACTTTTAATTTTAATCTGTGAAAAACTTATTTGGATGCTGCAGCTATTTATTTCACTTTGGATGTTTGGATGTTCTGCTTATTACATTATTGAAAGTCAGAGAAACCACAAAGATCCCTACCTGCTGTTTGCACGGTGGTGATGGTTGTTGTGGTAACGGTTGTGGACGTCATGGTGGTACCCTCTTCTCTGGATGCTGAAGTTGGGTTGAGGAGCGGATGATCTGGGCTGGTTTTGTTTTTCACTGCTGTTTCCCTAGCTTGCCCTTTCTCCACCCTCATTGAGGAAGGTGCAAGGGTTCCCTCTGCGGGAAAAGCACTCCAACTTTGAGGCCGACTTCTCTGCGAGGATAAGGAAGCCACTGGGTTGTTTTCACTGACTGAACCTCTATTGTTGGGCGTCACTTGAGTAGTGAGCGACTCTGTTGTTGGTTCTACCTTGTCTTCCCCCCTGGTCCTCTCCTTAGATGTCTTCTTTTGAGGGAGAGACATGGGCGGCCTTGGTGTTGTAGGAGAAAATGTGGTCAGTGGGGAGGTGGCAGCCACAGTGGCAGTAGAGGCAATGTCTGAGAAGGCTGGGGCATCCTCGTGGGGCACCAACTGAGTGACAGGGTCTTTTGCATCTGAGGCAGACACAGGGCCTGGCATGGTAGAATAGGCAGCCACAGAGCCATCCCTCCTAAAAAAGTGCTGGTCACCCTGGAAGTCCCGTGTAAGTAGGTGCTCATGAAGCAACAGGCCCTTGAGGACAGGCTGGTGGTTGGGGACGTTCATTGGTGAGACAGTGGTGACAGCGTGGACTTCGCTCTCTCTGTCCAGTGTTGATGAGTCCCTGTCTGGGTCCAGTGTCCTCTGACTGATATCCTTGGGACCTAAGACTAAAAGAAAAAAGAGAAGATGGTTGTGTTAAGTAAGGTCAGGAAATATACAGTACACAAGAGTAGTACATCTTTTTGACAGTTTCATTATAGAATCATCAAGTCTGCAATAATCTACCAAAATTATGCCTAATGAGGTGGGAGCCTGTCCTTATGTATAATTCTTCCACACATATTTTGTTGCTATTTAAAGCAGTTCATTATGCAGGTACGTGTGTGTGCATGTGTGTAGAGTTGGGGGAAGGGGGCTGTAGTATAATAAGTTATCCCTTATATCATCCATTATAGAAGCTTTAATGATAGAAAAACAGTCTGATGGGTATATGTAGGTATATGTATGACATATGTAGGTCACTACAAGTAACATACAGTATATGCATGGTGTGACATATTTGACATTCTCGACTGTACATTTAATTGAAGTACATTCAAAAGGAAAAACTGCCCATGGACTACAAGGACATTCTTTAAAGGTTCCCATGGACGATTAATACTGACAGTTGTGAGTAGCAGCTTGCAGAAAGTCAGTTTATTATCAAAGACTAATTCCATGGGCGCCCGGTTAGTTTAGTGGGTAGAGCTGGCGACCCATGTACCGAGCTGAGTCCTTGCGCAGCGCCCCAGGGTTCAAATCCTGACCTGAGCCTTTGCTGCGTGTCATCCCCTCCTCGTCTGCCCCCCTTTCCTGTTTATCTTCAGATGTCACCATAAAGGCAATAAAAGCCCAGAAAAATGCTTTAAGAAAGAAAGAAAAAAAAAAGACTAATTCCACAATCACACCCACGCGAAATACAATCACACTAAGCAGAAATAATGTAGTAACTTTAGGATAAAAAGGTTTAAAAAAGGTTTAAAAACACATATACAGATACTAAATTACTTCTCTTTCCTTTTGCCTACACACATACTAATTATCATGGTCTAGTTGACAGTTGACATCATGAGATACAGATGTGATACATTATTGCAAGTCCCAGAAGACAAGTTTCCATACGGAATTTTCACATGACATTATACTGTGAAAAAGCCAAAACAAAAGATGTTCTCTTCCAGGGTGACTTTGCCATTTTGGCAATGACACTGCTAATCCATTTAAAAGACAGACTCAGTTCCAGTTTTAATGAAACAGCCATATAAACACAGTTAGAGTTTAGTACCGGCAAACAGATGCACACATTTAATAATTAATTAAGCAATAACGTCCAAAAATAACAATGTAATAGCACCACTGGGAAGTAAGCAACACAAACCTGATTTTTAAGTTAAAGACTGGAGGGATTAAAGCTGCACGTGTTGGCTACACCTGGCTTTGTGACAACTGTCTTTTCTTAAAGTCCACTTACAGTAAAAGAGGCACCCCTTTACGTTTAAATGATACAGTGAATACTTTGCTTTGAGCACATAAAATTCTGGTTTTAGCTACAGAACCTTCTTCACCTATAGAAAGCCAAACCAAATTTAAAGGAGCAGTACAGCCCGATATAATAACTACTATCTACTCACCTTCATGCCTCTGTATCTTTTAACAGCTCAAAAAGGACAAACTGGCCAATCAGTTCAGTATGTAATTAATGGCATTTTAAAAAAAACAAACAATATTTTAGGAAAGTTAATATTCAAATTGTGTAAAAAGAAAATTGACAGTGCAAATCTGTGTCCAGAATAGTATGTGATAATTTAAATTAGGACCCATGGCACAAATTAACTCAAACATGAACTCACTTCTATCTATTAAAGCAATTGGATGCTTTTGACTGAGGTTCCTGGAGACCCACTATTTGTATTCTTAGAAATCACTAATTAAAACATTTAAAAAACAGTGATATTAAAGGTGGAAGTATGATAGTTAAGTGTGTTTCTATAGCCAAATGATTGCAGTGTGAATCCAAAAGTGGCATATTTACCCCACTGCCTGATACATTTTCCTCAAATTAGTTGTTTGGGGTATTTGCAGTGGTAGAAACAATCTATTCATCAGATTTCTCTAGACAGTGTGAACAGCAAAGATAAACTCCTTTGTATGTCCTCAGTAGCTGTGACAGGACAGTTATCCTGAAATGATCAAAAGTTCTCCAGTTGGCTGCTAGTTAGACACACTACAATGACAACAAAGATTTTTGCCTCATTTATGAACCTTTACGTGGAAAGAGTTTTATTTAGGTTTTGAAATTCGAGTGCTGACTTGCTGTTCTTGCTGTATGTATTGGCAGGATTCCTTTGTATCTTGTTAAGACAGAGGTAGATATAAAGTATATTTCTTTGTGTACTGCTGGACTATAAAAATAAAGCATCTATTGAATCCACAGTCCTTTTAGGACGGTGAGATGAGTTGACTAAAAATAGCTGACTGTGAATTCTTGCTTTCATTTTGGCATCAATACAATCTCCCTTTTTCTCTTTTTCCATCTAATTTTTGTATTTTTCATCTCGATTACACTATACATCTTTACTCTGTGCAGTTGTGTATTGCCAAATCGCACATTTGAACAACACTAAACATGTTTACCTAAAGCTAGCAATATAAGCATTAAATAATCCTATATGCTTTTTGTGTAGCATAAAGTAAAGTAGCTAAGATAAATATTGAAAAGAGTAAGGGAGTTTGTATAATCCTATTATTTGTCTACGTACATGTGTCTACATGAAACAATGGCGTCTGATTTGACACCTCATTTAGCTTGCATTCAGGGTGACAGTTTGTCTTAATGAGGCAGAAAAGCTGCCAGAACACTTTTCATGCTTATAGATGATAAGATGTTGTTGACACAGGCAGCAAATGAGTGCGATATCCTCATTCTGTTAGCTACAGTTCTCCAAGAGGATGAAGGAGCTGGAACTCAAAACAGATCTAAGATTCATTTTTAAATGGTCTGTAGAGGTCAGTTGAATGCAAATACAATGATTTAATCCATGTTAAATGTCTGGTAAAAACAGTACCGTGCATGGGTGAAACAGTATAACAATATATTGTGAAATTATTTTCAAGGTGAGTTTGTTTGATATTTCCTTTTAAAGGTTTGTGCCTCAAAATTCCAAGTCAGATTTCTACCCTATGTCTTTTATCATATCATACATCCTCTAGTTTACAGTAAGGTTTCACAGCCAGTTTATTGTCTATACCTGTTTAATCCTGATGTGATCAGTTCCTAACATCTGATTAAATTAGAAAGTATGCATATTTTACAATTTATTGGCTCTTTTTTTTTTTTTAGATGTATTGATTACAAGCGCCAGTTGGTTTTCTGTTCTCCCTGAAATAGATGCTTAAATCTGCTTGCCGGGAGGCAAACATTCACCCTGGAAAACTGACTTTGTTTTTATTGATTCTGTGAGGATTCCCATAACAGGAAACATACATTTAGGTTTTAAATGAGAAATGGTCTCGGAATAAATGTGAAAATTAAGTGTGCCACGGGAGAGGCTCTGCCCTGCTCATAAAACTCTGAAAGTAGTTGTAAGCCATTGTAACATTTTGCTGATGCAGAGTAGTTTTACCACCATAATCCAGCTAATAAAAATTTGATCAGGCTATTCAAGAAGAAGAGTAAACAATTTTGTTACAAAGCCTCTCCCGGGCTGACAGAATTGACACATGGTTTTACATTTTACTGGCAGACGCGACAACACCACATTTATCTTTCTTGGCGACAGAAGCAATTCAAAGACCTTTTGATGTTCTAAGATGGAGGAGAACCATTTCCTTGTAGCCTTATTCTGTCACAACAAGAGCTGAACTATAAAGGCAAACTAAGCATATTTGACATTTCGCACAACCAGCGAGAATAAAGAGTGTAAAGAGAGGTCTTCATGAATGATTGAAGTGAGGCTGCCCTCCTCCTCATAATTGCAAAGTATAGAGGAATCTCAAACACACACATACTGTATGGTAAAGCTGGGGAATTGTCCTTTTGCCAAGATTTTTGTTATTGCTACATTGGACTTGTAACTGAACCTTGCCTTTTATTTTCTTGTCTTTGTCTCCCTCTCTTTCTCTATCTGTGTCAGATTCTGACCATTCAGTTGCTGCCCCTCACTCAGAATATCGATTGAAAATGGAGAGTGAGAACAGAGAACTGGGTTAAACTAGAGTTTCTCATACACAGATCAATACAAGATCAATGTGTACAGGTTGGAGACTTCACTGTGGTGATTACAGAGGAGCAAGTACTGCTATCACACTGTTCTCCTCTCTGAGCCTTAATTGGGTGAGAATAGAGCTGAAAACTGAATTTTAATTTGTTAGCAAAACTAAATCAATATATACAAAACAGGAAATGACCAATTACAAACTCTTTGTCATGCAAGTTGCATTCATTGGTTGTAGATTATGTAAAAAAAAAAAAGGCCTTATATCTCAGCTGCTGAAAATCCTGAGAGATGTAAAATGAAATAAAGTTTATACTGTGAAAGAGGGAGCAAAACATTTTAAAACAGGCAAGCAATGAACTTGTATTTGTTCATGTATGGAGAACATGTAGCCTAAATAACTTACAATGACAAACCAAACAAGTAAATGGTGGATGATATTATATATATTCATCAAGAATGCTCTGCTTAAATTAGCTACCCGCTCAAAAACTACCAGTACGTCAGATTTGGTCTCTTGATTGTTATACAGTTAAGTAACGCCCTTCCCACACCCTCCAGTTCCAAGCGTGTAGGAGAAGACTACGGTGGCCACAAAAGACCATATCTAGAGTCAGTGTTTTATTTGTCCATTCTGGGCTACTGTAGAAACATGGCAGTTCAACATGATGGCCTCCGTAGAAGAGGATCTCTTCCCTCTGTAGATAAAAACTGCTCATTCTAAGATAACAAAAGCAAACTTTTTTTTTTTTTTCGATAATTGTACACCATTAAAAACATACATATGAATTTTATATTCTATTTTGGCCATTAGATCCTCTTAAATGTTACTGGACCTTTAAGTAAATGTGTACCATGTGTAACACAAGTCTCACACCTATGACCCACAGTTCATTTGTAGTTTGTATTAAGTTTGTATTGTGCAAATTCTAACATGGTAGGTTGAACAATCAAATCCAGCCAGACCACTAAATAAAGAAGCTTTTGTATAACAGCTGTTTTCATGTTATTGGAGATGAAATCAAATATTTGTTCTGAAACAAGCTACAATGTAATGCAAATGCTGAAATGATGTTCATTTGATTGGCTAGCCAAGCTTATACTGTCAAGTTGACATAAAATTACAACCTTTGCTAGACCCTAATCTCACCTGTTTCCATCCACAGCTAAAAAATCACACCCTACTGCCAGCCAATTTAAATTTATTGTGCTTGAAGGACTCCAATCAGGTATAGATGTACTGTAATATGCTGGCATAACCAGTCTACTGTCAGAACAAAGTGATCGTGATGTGCTCTGTCAGGTTCACAGAATGGGTGTCATGCTATCATTTTTAACCCTTCACATGTTGCATCAAGTCACAGGCATTGAATACAATGACAAAGAGGTGATAACACTTGTAAAGTTGTGCTGTGTATGTTTTTGGTATACGCTGAGTGAAAGTGACAGCAGAATTAGCAGACATTGGGGCTGAAATTTAATAGCATGTACTCTGCACCTTATATAAAGCAGTAGATCCAACAGCTTAAAGAAGATACCATGCTGCACACTCAAGAAGTTATGCATCTCTAACTG